TATATATATATATCTATGGGACGGCCTTTTACTTTGGGGTACTTTAGCTGAAAACACATCGGAAAAACATACACATGCTTAAATGCTTTTTTACTCATTTGTTAAGATGAAGCAGGAATATCTGGTTGAAAGGTACATCTCTCAGGTGTGCATGTCTGATAGTGAGGTTGCGAAAAAGTCTTAGACAGCTAAATCAGTACGCATTCCTGTCGTGTCTTACGCAGGTTTTTTCATCGTGCCGAATTGCTGGAACAAAACGACCTCCGCTCACTTTGTATACGCCGCCTCGCGACGATACTTGTCCAAGTAAGTGTTTTTAAGCGATGTTTTACGGCCTGGTATTTAAATTTTGTAAACAAGTGGCTTGTGCGGTATTTATTCTTGTTTATACGCTTTGAGTTTGATCGAAATCACTGTAACAATCTTCCTCCTAAAAAATCAATTTTAGGTTGCAGGACATGTGCCCTATTTTGATTGCAGTTCGCCACCCTTGTATAAAACATTCAATTGACTTCTGAGTTTTTTGAGTACTCACCATTAGTCGCTGTTTGGGGCTTGTCATTTGCACCGTCTGAAAAATGTTATCAAAGCCTTTCTCATTCAACTGAACGTAGCTGTTTCATCGACACTTATAGAATGTTTACTCAAAAAAAGTGAGACTCAATTCCACTGTTGGACAACTGCATATCACCAACCGGCATATGAAAGGTCAAATGCATGAAGGAATAGGTTGAATTGCAAATCTTCTTTGAAATTCCATAAAGGTCTCCGCAGTAATCTATGCAGCTGAGCTTCAAGTAGGTTGAAAGAAGCCAAGTTACTGCTTCAAGTTCCGCCAACGACGTAGAAGCATCGAACACTTGGTGTGAATAAGGAAAGTTGTAACACATCAGTAGTTAGATATTTAAGCTAGTGTAGTATATATTTCATCAGTGCATACAGATCAAGTAGTTTTTAAGCGCAAAAGTTGTTGCCCTTAAACAAAGTCCTATATGTTACGTAGAACCAGATTGATTTGGCGTGATAATTTTATAGCCAAAATTGATGTCTCGTGTTTTGATAGCACAAAACTCTCTGTGCCGTGCAAAGGGACATAACAGTTGCATCGTGTTTTGATTTTCAAATGCTTCACATCGGTGCTAAACAGAAAGGAGCAGAACACTTACATACCAAACTTATTTTCTGCTAGGGTTCCATTACCCTAATCCTAGATTGCTGTTTTTCAACGTAGGTTAATTATTCTGGCAGTTCCATGAACATTTTAGAAGTGGCCGCATGTAAGCCTCAGCTCAAACAATACCCTCGATTCGTGCACGTGAACGTGGACTCACGTGAACTTGACCTAGATAATTTCCTTCATGTTTAACTAGCATGGAAACCCCCATTAAGTTAAAATCAATGTGAATCAATACCTAATACGAATGAGCTGGTGTCTTTTCGTGCATAGGTTATTTAGGTCGTTCAGAAAAGGCACCTAGCCTTTAAGGCACATAAGAGTCCAAATGAAGCTGAAGACGTTTATGATAAGCGACGTCCAGGGGACATTTAGGAAAAACAAATATTCCTAAAGATTAAATAAACTTTTCTATTGTTACTGAATTGTTTATTGGATCAACTAAAAAACCGCTGCTCGTAGCAGCCATAAACTAAGGCACGTATGACGTAGACGTTTTCATTATGACCCGTTTGGCATTTTCCTGCAGAAGGGATTCACACATATCGGCCAGGATCGGCGAAGAGGTGTACGTGTGCCATCTCTTCAGAGGGAATTCTACAAGATCACGGCATCCACATTCAACTGTATCAAGCCACCTCAATCAGAAGAGGTCGGATTAAAAAATGTACCTAGAATTTTTTTCTCTACTTCCTCTCTTATCTAATAATAGATTTTGCTTGACAGTTTTTTGGGCGACAATCGATAGAACCAGAATTTTTTCCTACTTTGTGCCCAATAACAGTTTCGGAACTAAGCGACACCCTCTGGTAGAGCTTGCAAAAACTGCCCGCAAAGCACTAGTCCTTTAGTTTCACTACATATGCTGATACACATTTATGTCCAGACGTTCCCCTAACCTGCCATCTCGAGGACTCTGAGCGTGCTCTTTCATTTCTGTTTCTAACCGGGCGATTTAGCTAGGTACAGAGGGGTCACAAATTCGACCTAAGGGTTTCTTGAGTGCTTAAAATATTTTCTTATCTAACGAGGAATAAATACGAGAGGGAGGGATGCAGCAAGCAAGCATATCATGGTATTGGTGATCTACATTGCACGGGCTGGTTCGTCATCAATATTCAATCATTCCTGCGACTTTACTTTTATCGAAAGAAATGTTTATTCAGACTTCAATGGTAATATACATATTAGAATCAAACGAAATAGATTTATTGGAACTTGTCTTATTATTATGTACTTACACTTATTACTACTCTAATTTCATTTTGCCAAATATATCGTTGAATCCATGCCTAAACTGTCACGTGGATAGGTTAACTAAAGCTAGTACAACCTAAAACTACATCGGTTTTAACAAAATATTTTTGATTTTTTTTGTTCTTCTTATTTTAGGACCAACGAGCTGTGCTGACCTTGTCATGTCTACCATCAGTTCTAGCGGAGGATCTCCTCGAGGCATGTGTGGCTTTAGTTGCCCCAAAGGGAATCCTTCGCTATGGACATATAGCAGATGTGCTCGCCAGCGGGCGTCTTGTACGGTTGTCCTTGTGGGATGTAGAAACTAGCGCCAAAGACTTGTCTGCGATAGCTCGAAAGACCTGTGGAAACCTTCAGGTAATTAACTCTAGTACGCGTTTGCTTATTGGTTCCTGATTCTAACTTACATTTCCTTGTTTCTTCTAGCCATACAAGTGAAAGTGTTTTCGTGAACTTTTCATCGCAGAAAATTCGTACCTAGCGACCTAGAGGGCACACAATTTCGTTCATTAATTCTTTGCTATAAAAGGGTAGATTAAGTGAGAATATAACGTGTAAAAGAACGAGTCGTTTTACAGTAAGTATAACGTAACGTCAAAATGCTGTTATTTACTGATGATGCAGGAACTTGAAGTGGACGGGGTAGCGGTCCGAGGCCGACGACCTGAAAGCGTTTTGCGAGCGTTTCATTCATTTGAGCGGCTCATTGAGGCAAATGTGCGAACGCTTAAATGCGTGAATATCGGTCTTGCTCTAAATGATTTACTCATGTTATCTGGACTACGCCGTCTTGAGAACCTAACTCTCAATTTCGACTGTGCATATCATCTGAATCAACTTATAATTAGGAACAAAAATAGGGGTTAGTGGATCAACACTGGACAATCAACTTATTTTGGGAAGTTCTTTTGAGCCAAAGCCATTATGATTAATACCTAATATCAGTTGATAGACGAGGGTTGAAAAAGAAGATCATCCTCTGGAAACCCTTTTAATATAGCTATTTCGAGGAAATATTCCTGAATATCTCTCTCATTCATTTTTCGGTACTTTAATTGGCAGAGCTTGATCAGAACCTGCATTCGTATACGATGGTACCGAAATGTGTTCATGCGTGCTCTAGTCCTAGTGGCATCTATAGTTATTCCTGCTAATTTGAATGTTCATGAACTACTTACAGTGTGCAATGATTACCTTGTCAAAACATAGCTTTTTTTCCCTTTGAAAGGGAAAGGGCACGTCTCCGTTTTAATAGAAGCACATTTATTTAAAATTGTAACACCTAGGGTTAATTTTAAGTAAGTGTAAAAACATTATATGTGTTTTTGGTATATTTGCAGAATACATTTGGCCACGACTTCGAAGTTTTCGTTATGGAGATTTTTTCTCAGCGCCAACCAAACGATTTGTCTGTCATCTTCTGCAAAAATGCCCTTTGTTATCACATGTTGATACAAATATCGCCGACTCACTGCAGCATCTTCATGCCAATGAATTTCTTGCCGGTAAATGGACATCAAGTAGCTTAATAGAGTGTAATTTCATATAAAGAATTTGCGATTCGGTCAGGTTTTTAAAAAAATAGTTTTAAGAAGGTCTTTTTAGGACTTTTAAACCATACTGCGGATTACGGAAATTATGGATAAGATAAGCAAAATATTATAAACGAATATTTTATTATAGGAGGCAGTCAACTTAGTAAACGTTATCCTCGTATTGAAAAAGCTGTTCTGGGAAGTTTTATCTATGCTACAGAGGATATGGGAGCTCGTATTCGTGGTAAGCATGACAATATATACAATCAAACAAATGAAAGGCATAATTTTTATACTCGTTATGGGATGATCCAAGAAGCATCGATGCGTCTTGTCGCCTACATAAATGTTCTGGAGCAAATTGTTTATAGGCGGCAAGGTTATGCCTGAATAAAAGTATCTACTACGTAGAATAGATTGACCATATTTTTGGATACTATATCGCCATGCCAGTTTCCTAGAAATGACAGAAAGTGCGTTGACAGGCGCATCGGTCCTGAGCGTTCAGATTGCCGCCAGTGCACTCATACATTTACGCGACCTGGATTTGTATCTTGATTCGCATGACGCTATTCTGGTGCTTGGCGAATTCATTCAACTTGAACGGCTCCGTTTGATGTGGGTTAACAAGGAAGAGGAGGGAACCTTCACCCGAAGTCTCGAAACCCTACTAACGGAGGTAGCTAGTGAAATCCAATCAGTTTAGCATTAAATAAGTAGTCTTGCTTATACAATACGTAGCTATTTTTACATTATGATACTTGTTATAAAATATCAGTGTGATTGATTCCATTTAGTTCGAACTGCTGACCTTTAACTAGCTACTGCGTATCTCATAGGTGGGTTGTCAGTTGAAGGAGCTCTGCGTGCATTCGTTTGTAAATGTCGATGTTCATGAAATTTCATCATTGTGTCCTTATCTAGACTCTCTCGGCATCATCGAATGCCGTACCCAGTACGGACCTCAGGTGAGAAAAGCAAGACATTTGTTTAGGAGGAGAAACGAAATGTGTCTGTGTCGCGACTTAACCAACCTAGATAGAAATCAATAAATTCCTGATCATCTAGTCCGTTGCAGCTGTACGTATAGGAAATACTAAATAAGATAGGTGAAACTTGTTGCGAAAAAAAAAAAATGTGCGACGAATAAAAACTAACAAAACAATATTGAATGACGTTTATTTTTTTCCGGCCTACACTCTTCTCCGTTAATGATCCCGCTAATAGGTTCGTCTTTGTTCATTTGAGCAACTTCAACGATTCCGCTTCATTCCGCCAAGATGCTACCCAGCACAGCAGGCTTCACTTGATCTACTTAACATACTTTACGGTCTGGTATAATATCTTCTTTAATGGGTACTATTTTTTGATGAACATTATTTAGTACTTTTATAATTGCTTCAGTTATAAAAGCTGTGGAGAATCTGGATTAGCTTTAAAGTAAATTTTCGCTAAGTCCAATTCATATCGCACTATTTTATTATAGGGTCTGAAGGTTTGGAAAAATTTATCGTGGAGTTCAAAGAAGCAGAAGATGAACTAACGAAGTTGGTCGACGAAATTGTAAAAATCAACCCTCTTAGTAAGCTCTTTATGGCAGGTAAGGGTTTATGTGATACAAATGTGCATTTTAGATTGAAAACGATAGGACACGACACTTTTCTTTATTTACAGTCACGTCACAGAAACCCGTGTAACTATTTCGTAACATCGCAAATTGACGCAGCATTATCAGGTTTGAGTATTATCTAGGTCGATAAAGCCGGTCAGTGTTGTATAAGTGATGGAGGTTCCAAGACAGATTTCTTCTCTGATTCAAGTTGTTTAATCTGATCTACTAGGTTGAGTGAATATGAGAGCCTGTCTTTGGCCTCATGGTTTAAGTAATGGTTAGATTAACGGCTTAAACTAGATAGTTTCGTAATTAGTTTAATGCAGGTACGCTGCATTCTAGAATAAAATATATTGTCGTATGCGTTTTTTTCACAACTTTTTCATAGGCTTGTACTTTAGTCAAGCCTCTGCGGATCAAGCTATTGATGGACTTTTCAAGCTGATATCGTCATGGAAAAATCTTCGTTACCTCACCCTTGGCGACCCCGAGATTTTGCAGATTGTCAAGGAGAGTTGCCCAAACCTCAAAGTCCGCCATGAGTATCTCTATGTTGGACTCTAAAATCAATATCCCCATAATGCTTTTGATAAATTAACCAGAGCTATTTTACCATAAAAATCCTACATTTAGGGGCTGAGCAGAAAATTACGCAATGTAATTTAGTATTGTAACCTAGTTAAAATATGCCCACGGGCATACCATAATGCGGTACTTATTTATTGAATTCATTTGTACAGAACGAAAGCAGCAAATTTTAGAAACGTTGTGAAAAGGAACATGTATATTTATAAGAAATAATGCGGGAAATCGCACAGTTCCACACAACGCGCGGATTTCAGGCTGAATATTTCGTCCTTTAGCAAATTAGGTATTACCATGTTGGATAGTAACAATTTTAGAAGATACCAGTTAGACTCATTTAAATTGCGCTATATATTAGACACACTAAAATATCTACCAGATGACATACATTCTTTTTAGGAAAAAATTATAGATTGGCTACTTAACAGCTCAAAATATCGATGTAGATGTGATCTTTAGCGGATTATAAACTTTTGATCTCGTGTTGTATACACATCAGTAGAAGCATCTACGTCGTCAACGGAACTTGCTATATGCTCATCTCTACAATATCTACGGAAAATCTATTTGATAAAAAGCCAACATAATTTGTCATGAGGATATATTTTTTGTTAGACCGGACTCCTTTTGCATAAATGTGTACATGGTAAATATGAAATTAAATTCAGTTTTATTTAACGACCGTAATCGACGAGTATACCAGAAAACTACCAAGTAAGTCATGACTGTGATTGTTCATAAAAAAATGTTGCTTTTTTTTGCGCGGCGTTGCTAAGCAATGAAACGGTCTTACATCGGCATCACATAAAAATTTATACAAAAATAAAACGTGTACACGTGCATATTTTTCAGCGAATTTCTATTGGACTAAATACATCTACTAACATGTGTACTACATATAAATAAATATATATATAAACGACAGATTCCCACCCGCACGCCGAAAGGCACCAACGTATACAGCCCTTATGCTAACCGAGGTTGGAGGCACCCTGATATTTTATCAAATAATAAATTTCGTATGCTTTACGTTTAATAATTTTACTTTCGATATTACAGATGACTGCCCCGTTTTTTCTTCTTAGCATATAATCAATTTGGCACGAGGCTTCATTTATAGCATCGCCGTGCTACGACAGTGGTCTAATATTTAGGCATCTGATTTTAAGAAATGTAAGAAAATTAGGCCAATTCGCTTCATATTTCTATGAAGTGGTGCTACTAGTCATGCGCTATTTGTAAAGCACTAGATGGTTTACAAGTGATGGAACATCGCAGGATTGTTCTGTGGGGCCACAGTGTCGGATAATCCCGAACCAACTAGGAAAAATAATGTGAAATTGTCGCATGACTATTACGTCGTAACAGGCACTACTTGAAGGGCTACTGCGATGATAATGAGCAGAGTTGAAACTTGATTTCAGCAAATAGTTTTGGTTTTTTTTTCGCCGCGACATAGCTAGGATCACAAGCTGATCCGTAAGTGCGATCATCCCTTTTCGATTCTATTGTTGAAGGCTGGATAGGCGTTGTACACGTACGTAATGCGGGGTGGTGAGGCGTTTGGAAGGCGCTGAATGACGATTGTTCCAGCCCAAGTAAGCGTTGTAAGTAAGGTAAGCGTTGTCATGCTGAGATCCTTAGTTCTCCAACTGCACAATGCTATCACCAGGGCTACCCTAAAAGAAATTAATGTGAATAAAGATATATTATAGTGCAACTACAAATGCGAGTAATGATGAACTGTTACAAGATAAGCTAACCAAATACCCCTATATCGCGTGTTAGGGTTTTGCATATGAATCGAAAAGTCGAATTTCTCTTTACGGTGTTTTCTAACTAGAACTTCATAATAATATTTATTACAATCTCATCTAGCAGGCATTTGTAATAGTTTATAACCCAATATATTCAAGTAGCCGATTGACGTTCATTTAATGTCGCTATATAGACTGAACTCGTCTAGGTTTTTTCGAACCTTACGATTCTTCGCTCAGCCTGATCCCTGTGTCTGCCCCTGAACCGGTTAGTAATTTAGTTCAATAGCGTGCTTCTACAAAAATTAGTGACGGCAGGGAATTAAACGACTAGCGGTCAGCTTAAGCCAATTAGCCTGAGGAAGTGGAAAAGAAAATGATTCGTGAAAAGAGCACGGACACAATTTACATTTGCTGTCGGTAGTTCCAACCCACTGCTGGTCCTAAGAGGCTAAGCGGCAAAGGGGCTTGATACCATCGAAGCGGTCACAACTCCCGTCAACAAGGATCTTCATCACAAATTCTATTATACAATTTTCTTCTTTTTCTAAGCGTCGTAGGGTACACTTAAGTGGCAGGATCGCTTCTTCTGCTATTGTGATTGAAAAACGGAAAGAGGGACCACGTACGAGCCTTGACATAAATGTATTAATGAAATTATAGACATGTATGGGGGTTGCAATGTTCTTTTCATAGGATTCCGCTCGTTAGTCTAAACACCATTCCGAAATGGATGTATGTGCTTAAACAATTTTTTTTTTAATTCTTATCATTTTGTGGCACACTTTATTCACTAATGTATTATTATAGCTTGGTATATTTTTTCCTACTTTCACTTATCAGTCACAGAAAAATGTATTTAAAAAACACCAGATATTACAAATAGTTCAAGATAATAACCACAGACCAGCACCCTATGCATAACAAACAAAAAATTTATGTGCTGCGGAGTCGTTGAAAGCAGCCAAACATGTTCGACTATAGCTTCTATGTCTATTATGCCGTTTTCTGAACACTTAATTGAAAACTAAATGCGTTAATTGCTTGTATTTCTGTTATATATAAACACACACCGATACTGACGTTTGTAAGACTAGCTTACTTTGTGCACATTGTTAGTAATAACAGTAAACTAGGGAGTTGAATTCAACGCTGCATTCATATGAACTTTTTTCCTGCAAGTGTATACATAAGCAGATTTATAAATCACAAACATCAGAACGGATAGGGAAGGGTGGGCCAAAATGAGCTTCTACTCTAAAACCTTGAAATCATCTGTCCCTTAACGGCAGATGTCAAACTGTAGTTTTTTTTTGTGTTAATTTATTATAGTATAGTAGTTTGTTTGTAAGTGGGACGTATACGCTGCTCAATTTAGGGCTCCATAGTCAATAAGCTAGAGGAAACTTAGGCGGCTCTTGCCCCCCAAGATATAGTACCCATTTTGGCCTATGTTGATTTACCTGGTAACTACATGCTTTTTGTCAATAAGTAATCAACAAGCAACCCTCAACTTAATTTGATTAAATCAAATATCAAACCAATCATCCAGATAGGCCTTATTTAGCCTCCAAATGTGAGAACGTCCAATTGGAAATAATTTTATAAATACTAGCAAAAAGTTGAATTGTATTTCGTTCCGGGAATCTAATGGTGTTGACGAGCATAAGATGTATACGCAGGAGCGATGTGCAAAGGTTCCTCAGAGTCATAGCTATTTACTGAAGTTGTACCCTTCGTCACTATGATAATTACAGATCACACAAAATTGAAAATGCTCCATATATACGCATATACGGAAGGTCTGAATATTTCAAACGACCTTTTTGTTAGGGAAGGCGTAACGTGTTTTTTAAGATTATATTTAATCGTTTACATAGCGTTCGATCTCAGTCTATGTTTCTTTCGACTTATCGCCAACGGTCTCACGAACGCCTTCAGCCGAAATCAGGCCTACTGGAAGAACGCCCCTTCTAAATTGATTTACATTATCAACTTACAGCTATTGCGGTAAACGGCAAGTTGTTATCGAAACTCAGAAGAAGTTCGGCTATTATCTCTTCATGCGCAACTAACCTCCTCTTAAATTGAAAACTTATTTTTCTTGCCTACAACAGATACTATGAGGTATACGGCACGGGATAAAGATATCGACAAATATTTATAATTTAAATTGACACGCACTGTCATTGCGTCACCAGGTCCTGTTATTTCGCTCTGAAAGTTCTTTTAGCTTTACTCGTTGCAATGAACAGCAGGTTATTGACGATTTACTCATAACTGAAGGTATAATAGGTGTGTCTTTTTGGATGTAGGTACATGTTCAGATCATGCGTAAATTACGATCCTTCACTTTACATGGCAGAATGCGGTTCCTGAAAAGCGAATCTGTGACTCGTCACATAGTGCCTATCGAGAATGTTTGCGCCCAGCCTATGCTGGGCTCTGAGGCCGTAGAAGTAGCCAACCAAAAACGTCGAAGGAAATAAACGTTTCCGATACTAACAGTGTTGCGTTCTAAACCACCGCTTCATGTAATTCAACGTGAGTTCTTGATAATGTTTTCGTTGCATAGCTGTCCCAATTTTTAGATCAGTATATGTGTAAACGTACCAATACATATGACTACATAGGCACCTGAATTACAGTAATTTAAGTACTGTATAAGTACATGGGCATACACTGTGAGCAGACTGACTCTGAACGTCTCTACATTGTAGTTCGTTAACGTATAACAGCTCCATTTACGTATGTACGTCAAAATTTTGTAATTGATGGAGATTAGGCAATGAGTAAATTTTGACAATTTTTGTTGCGCGTTTTTTTCATTTTGCGCAAACGGTGCGGAGAAGAACTGTCTAGGCAAAGATAGCCGTAAAATACCGCAGTATCTGTAATTGTGCTGATTGGAACATTGGTGAATGCCGGTTACAGCAATTTTAGTTGAGAAGTACTGCTATTTAAAGCCAAATAAATGATTTTTTTTCAATTACGTCCTCTATAGAAGAGCAAGCGCTTATTTTTAGGGATTTGAAATTGGAATCTTGGTTGAGGTTTATATAGACAACAAAAGAGTACCTCAACATATCGTCGACAAATAAAGCAAGCTTGAGTTATCTAAATTACAAGTAAATCTTTGCTTATAATAGGAAAGTTGAAACAAGAAGACTAGATTTGAAATTCAGATTTCAGGATTTTCAAGCAAACCCAGTAAGTGGTAGCCAGCTAACAGTCTTCACTAATATGGTTCATTCTATCAATGTATTTCTTCTTCATCCCACACATGCAGTCCCGCGACAGCTCACGTGGTACGCTTCTTTTTTCTTCATTGGCCTCTCTCTTTTCCCAGGCCGGGTGGCCAATAAATTGGACTGGACCAGATCCCCTGCAATAATTTCTTTAAAGAGAATGGGAGGATCGCCCCATTACTCAAGCTGTGGCTTCAAACGCGTTTATTGTGTATTAGTGTTTTTGGAGTACAATCAGCGCTACTCGGATATCGGCATGAGCAGCGGCGGCAGCGAATATTGTGTTAGCCGAGCGATCCCTAATGACGACGACGACATATGTGTTTACATTGAGCACGATGTCCGTTTTGGCACATTTCCAGTGGCATCCAAGGCACAGCGGGTCATCACTGCATGAACTGAACACCAAATAATGAATAGCGTGTAGTTTTTATTTTTTTTTATTAAATAACATGATAAATTAAATAAAAAAACGAACTCTGATGAGGCGATAGATTCATTCTCATTTTACTTAAAGTTGGTCGTATGCTATTATAAAACGATCTGTCAAAAAGTCTCGTTTGCATCTAACGTAACAATTCGAACAGAACTTGCCATTGAATAACTGTGGTCTGCATGTACAAAACTGCAATAGGAACCAATAAAGGAAACGCTCTCTGGATGTCTACCTTGTCGATAGCTCCTGAAGGATGCATCTGACTCAATATACCTCTACTTGAAAACGGTGAGAGTTTATAGAACGAAGCTGTAATTCCTGAAATCGCTAGTTCAAAAGCGTATAACAATATCCTATTTCGTGTATTCATAATTAGACCGAGCTGAGTTTCGTTGATCAAAAGATTTGATTGTAATTATTATACAATCTAGAAGCGCGACAGAGAGCCGAAGACCTTGGTTTAAAAATAAACCTAGTTATGTTATTGATAGTTTGATACATGTATTCGGCGGGACATGTCTATCGAAAAAATCGAGCGCCAAATATCAATACACATACTACATCTCAGGGTATTAAAAAGGGTCTTCTTTTTATAATATCTTTGAAGCGGGCCACATTGTTGATTTCATAAACGCCTGCTCTGTTTGTAATTAGTTCGAAACTAACAGCAAAAAACCATGAGTATTTAATCGAATTGCATTCCCTATATAATCCTAAGATGCTTGACATTGACAATTCAAGTCTAGTTTCAATAAAAATTGCTTTGCCAGTGAAGCAAGCAAAAAATAAAAATAACCAAATTTTATTTATGAAATTTGTTCAGGCGTAAATACATATATCAAATTATAAATAATAATAATTACTAGTATTATTAGTACCAATGACCATGAAATTGAAAATATACATACAATGAGGCAAACATTATATTGCTAATGTAATCTAAGTTATGGCAAAACGGTATTGATGTATACAAAACAAAGACAAAGAAACCTTTTGAGTGCATATATTTAAGTAGTCGTTCTTTTAAAAGTTTACTTGTATTACTTCCTATATTTATGCTTATAAAAGCCGTGCAAGCTTTCTCCAATATTACGACATGTCAAATAGGGGCCAGACTCAAGATTTTCAAATTCATTTTATTTTAATGTTAATTTCAGGAGAGTACACATTTCCGAGCGGTCTTAGTTGATCTGTAAGACAATTCCAATAATCTTGTGTATTCAGCTACATCCTAGTGCATACTGCTATTCGCAGCTACTCTTGTATCAAATGTTTTATCAGTTGAACTAGATTAATTTACAACAGCTGCATTCCTCGATAACTTGTTCTTATCTTTTATGTTTAGAATTTGTACTCTATTAATAAAGTTTTTAATTCGAGAGTACGCCCTTCATACATAATCACCCCAGATCTCGTCCGTGAAGTATTACTTCAGTTTCCCACCAACATTCACGACGAGCAGGTTTACGTTGCGGAGTGCACGCCCCGATGCGAATCACAATCTGCCAATATTCTGGCTGTCAGCCTATTGCATCAGTAACTAGTGGACTTGCAATACCTGTTATGTATCATTTATGAATGGAGAGTGCAAGATATGTCGTTTATGGCAGTGGTTACGGCCGCCGCCAGGTGTAGTTTCGTGCGTGGCATTTGATGCCCTACGCTTTGCACATGGTTACGATATGGTCGCTACCGCTATCGTGCTAAGTGGGATTTTTTTTAGCATTTGTAATGATAAAAAAAGTCGACTTCTTATCCCACTTAACTGACAGAACTTAAGCTTCGTCAGCTCATGTGCGCGTGTCCCCGTGACAGGGTGGTAACCAACGTGTTTGGCTGTAAAGGGCACGCGGTATCCACGTAAAACAGCCACGGTGCCGTATATAAAACAGTTAGTTCATGTGGTCATAAAGGAGGTCCGAGCTAATACCTCTCTGGCTGTAGATCAATAACATGCCCTTGAACATTCAAGCAAAGCGAGTCATAATTAACATTGAGCCTTCCAGTTCATTTGCGAGCCGTTTCGCAAAACTCACAAAAAAGTTTATTGATTCTCGGCCGCTTGGAGCGTTCGCAGTTCTTCGTGCTGCGTAATGCTACTTTCCTCAATTATTTAATCTAATTTTCATTGACACATATCCCATGAACATTTTATAAAAATCTACGAGTACTAAGTTTTCTGATATTCTATTAAGTCAAAACAATCTATCGCAAAACCGTAATATACATAAATAATCATATGGACCTAATCTCAAAAAAAAAACGAAGCAATTTCCATAATTTAGCACATTTACGCACAGCACGTAGTTTTCTGTTATATATTCATCAATAACGTATTATGCTTAGGTCTTAGATTGCACCAGGTGAATGGCGGATGCAAGGATCCTTACTAAAATATCTAGAACTATCGGAAATCATAATCGCGGATTATTTCTGTTCCTGTATTATGCAAACTTAACTTGACAAGACATAGAACTTGTTCACGAGAAAACGCTTAACTCTTGACGTTCTCCTTCCGCCACTGCGCTAGTCCCTGGTCGAACAGACGCCTTGTCATTCCTTCTGAGCGGACATAGATCGCTGTTACGCCGAGCTGTGATACGTCCCGGATGTTCCTCATCTCGTCGTCGAAAAAAATCATATCCGTGAATGTAATTCCGGATGATTTCTGAAATCTGCTACCGAAAATCAGAGTAAAATAGAAACATGTTTTTGTCTTTAATGAGAACGGTTTACCGAGTTGAAGCATAGGATAAGCTGTATTTTTAATTGTCACATTTTTGTCTGTACTTCCGAGGTTCATAACGTTACAAGCCTTTAATGGAATCGTTAGCATAGTATAGAATAGAATTTGAATTATTCATTTGAAAACCGAGAATAACTTAATGAACGTGGTCATTATTTTTGAAATATATACATCGATACAAAATAGCATTATATGAATATTAAGCTAATCAGTCATTAACTAGTTATTAAACGACAAAGGTAAGTTCAAATCATAACATCAATGACCTGTGTGTTATTTTGCCTATATGATATTCATATCAGAAGGTAAATTTTCAAGCAATTGGCTATTCAGGGTTTACAAGTCAGGATAGCTTCGAGTTAAGATCAGCCCTGCAATCGAGGGCAATAAGATATTTTCATTGAAATGTAGGATATTTCTACCCAATGGTTTTCAGTTTGTCTTTTCGAAATAGAGTCATTATGAAACGTAAACTGACCGCATGAAATGTGTTTTCTTGCATCCGGGATAAATCTCGCGATAATCAAAGTAATGATCCCAATCAAGGAGCTTAATTAACTCATTGGCAACGGGCGGTGCATCTGTCCGAGAGGCTGCAGCTATCTGGTACCCTTCGGAACGCAAGTATTCCAACAGTGTCGGAACCTTAAATAAACATGGTAGAAATCATCAAGACATTTGGTCATTACGACAGTGAAAGAGGTATTCGAAAATTTAGATTTTCAGTTATTCAATCGAAGCAATTTTCCACTGGCATACCATTGAATTTTCATTTTGATTTACTCACATCTTGTCAGCTAACTGCCTGTAAGAATTTCGAAGTAACGAATTTTGCTTAATTGCTGAAAAATTTTTAAGGGCACTAAGAGTATTAATAAAATATGGACAAAACTGGAGGGTTTTGTATATATATGGTTAAGGCTTATCAAAGTTTGTCTGACTGTACTTAAACTTTCACATAGATTGAGGTAATCGCATAGATAGATTTAGTCGCATAGACTGATATTGGGAAGTGTGTTATTGCAGAAAAAGCCTCGTTTACAGGCAAAATAATAATGCATAAAATTTTTGGCTTAAAATTAGTTTTCTATGTCATACATCAGCCATCATTTCGTATGAATGAATTTATTCTACAGACTCGATCACTACAAACATTTGCGCCATCTAAGTTGTTTAAAATGAAATGCCGTTATCGGTCTGGAAAATACTCGAGGTTCAGTAGGCACTGCAGCCATCCTACAGTAGTTCTTCGAAATTACCCAGTTTAGCTAGCCTGCATGTTGTTCTTAAATTAAATCAGTAAAATCAAGTGCTGCATGCTAAACTCAGCAATACGTAAGAAAAATCGGTAAAACTTGTTATGAATTAAAATGTGCTGTATTGATTACACTATTATTTCGCCTCCGAATTTCAAATCTGCTGTATCCTCCTTTTTTGTAAGGAACAGATCATATAATCTCATATTTTAATAACTTCAACCAAGCAAATACCGTCTCAGCAAAAAATTTTCACCTATACCAGAACCATTAAAGCTTCGCTAAATTTTCCTCGTTTCGTCTGTGCGATTGAGAGTGACCCTATATGATCCGACCATCAACAAAATTATACAGACCAAAACAATGGGAACCGATCAGGTTCGGGGACCTAGTTGTGATCATATAATTTTCTTCATGATTTTTCATTTGGTCGTAATAATCCTCGAAAAACGTAAACGTTGTAATTCTCGAGAGACTGTAAGACTCGAGTCACACTTACTTCTGGAAAAGGTTTGACAGCCTGACCGTACGAGTCGAACACGTTCCCAAGTCTGAAAAATTTTACACCGCTTAATAAGACCTCATGGACTGGAAGAAGAGAAACGCACCGTCAAATTTTATAGTTAAAGTGAAATAGTTATTGCAGTGAATTACGTATCAACTGAATTTTCAATTAGCTACTTTTATATTATAGCCATTTTTTTTGGGGAAAAAACATCCAATTATGAAGGTGCGCTTCTAGCGGCTCTGCTCCTGCTTAAAAAATCTAATTTATGAATTACATATAAAATTAACTATTTTTAAGTATCTTTATAACTACAATAACTAACTTTATTACCAAATAGGAATGTATTAAGCTGCGCTTATTTGTACGGGCTTTGTCGGAATATAACGGGAGATCCTAAAGGTTCGAGTTTGCGACGTTGCCCGTACATCATCCCGATTGTCATTCTGATAGGCGAACGCAAAGCATAGTGGGCAACACTTGAATAGAATCATACTTGTCTTTCCGGAGCGGTGGATGTACTGTGGTGTCAACGTGCTGCGGCCAAAGAGTATAATCTGAAAAAGTTGTCGAAGTTAATAATTAGCTATGCGTGATTGGAAGGTATGAGTATTAGATATGTAACGATATAAATGATTTGTTATCTCTAATATAAGACATGGCAGTCATTGGAGTTTGTGGGGTCGGAGACATCTGACTCGATTCAATTTATTTATTCGAAACCACATTGTCTAGATTACGTTCTAGCAACCTAACGAAAAAATTCAGGATCAGTAGGTGTAGATAAAATAGTTTAATCGTATGGAACATTGCTTATTACTCTCTATATCGGCATAATATTTGCCTCGATCAACATAGATTAGTATTTAGAGCGCATGTACTGAAAATAAATTTTACATTTTTTATATTTTAATTTAATTTAAAAAAATGTTTAAAAAAGAAAATAAGATTTTAGTCAACTTCGGACGCAGTTATTGCTCAATCATATGAAAACCCTAATAATTATCATGCAATTTAAACTTTTTTGCAGCAAAACTAGAGTGTTTCTAATCTAATGTACGTTTATCTTCAAAAAACATAAATCCGATATATTATGTGAGAATAACCAACACTGTGTATTTTTCAGCTTAGTGAATCACTGGTGCCTGTTTCTGAAAGCACTTGTGTAAACTTTTTAAAAAATATTATAAACTACCTGATTAATGAACACAGTATTTACGCCCAGAAGGCAAACCAAACTAGCTTTCGGGGCTAACTAAACGAAATTTGCGTATCGATTTATGGTAAAGTTTACATCCGGCACAACTAGTGTGTATGATGCGGCCATAATATTCCTGCCTTTCTTTCCTAAGGACTTCAAAACGTTTGAACCACATATCCTTTTAACTTAGATTTTTTTGCATAAGTCAAAGCTAAATGAAAGCTTGAGTCCTTACCGAGATCGAATACTACAAGTTTGGGCCTTTCATTAGACTTAGCAGTCATCGTGGAGGTTCGCAAAACAGAGCTAACGCTCTTCTGAAAACAGCCAACGAGTCCTGCAGAGAACAGTGCAAGGCCGGCAGTCCCCAAAAACATCGGTATGGTACCCCAACGGCAGTGATTTTGCTTTTTTCTGTTACGTTTTTACAAACACCGTCTATGAAAACGTACTTTCGTAGACAGACAATCACACGAAGATGTTACACATAAGGGCACGCAGGAACAGAAACGGATTTAACGTGGTCAAGGTCTTCCAGAGTACGTTTCCCTCTCTAATGAAACAGCTCACAGCGCTTTTTGAATAATTCCAGAATGAGGCAAAAACCACAGTGTGTCCCGTAAAGCAGTGACTGATCGATGCGAGGGCTTTTTCAAGCGAACTTAAATGGCATGCTACACGGAAATAAATGAGCCCCAGAAGCTTTCCACCATGGGAAAAAATGTGTTTTTTAAAAAAGAGTGTTAAACAGTATTCTCAATGTATGTTGTAAAAGGAACAACAGTTGAGAATGACTACAAAGATGTTTTAAAGAGCGTATCAGTAGCATACGCTGTCTCAAAAAAGCCTGTTGAACAGGTAAAATTACTGATTTTTGCACTTTTTTCCCTTTTTTTTTAATTATTAGTTATTTATTATTAGAGATGTGTAATTGAATACGATGCGCTTAATATGTTTGATCCCTGAGCGTCTCCCTAAATCTGTCGATGCCATGTTTCCACGTTGTACGTCAAACAAGAACATCTTTAAGGCAAAAATGGGAAGAATCCATCGCATCGAGCTCAGTTCTGTAGATTTCAGTTGATTTTGCTGACAAGGCCTTGTCATCTCTAATTAATAATCATTAATGCTGCAGAATCTGAAACTCTGAGTAGTGCCATATGATTTGCCGTTTGAATGTTCTTAATATTACATCTAATTCATTTTGACTGCATTGTGTCAACACTCATTACGTTGCTTTGTAACTTTGTGCATTGTTCCGTGCATGAAGAAAAGCGTGCCACTCAAATTAAAAACAATACATTTGATCTGATCGCGTAAAACTAGCAAACTTGTGTGTTGCAGAATATTTCGAATATGTTGAAACATATTTCGATACCGAAACCGATTAGCTATGGCCACACGATACACCTGTTTTCTAGCGGATTTACAACAACTAAGTTTCGTAACGTGTTCAAATAATTTAGGACAAACGTGTGATACAAACGGCACCATACACGAATCACGTGTCCTATAGGCCAGTCTGCAGAATATTATCCTAAATATGACTACTATTAGTCCAGTTGTGTAACTGTTATTTGTGGAATAAAACGTAATTTTAAAAATTGTCAGTAGCTGTTAAGTTTTATTAATGAGTTCACGTATTCACAAGTCTAGCAGATGTTTGGAATAGCCGTAACAAAAATGTTACAGTTATTCGCAGCGAGAAAGCGACCGTCTTATTATATACCTCTAACTTGATAAAGAAAGTTTGGATAAATATCAGGAGCCATTTAGAAACTGGATTTCTAAAAGAAACCGTTAATTGCTTAAGAGAACATCTAATGAAACTGAAACACGAATAAACAACTGACGTGATATACATAATATATATATGATCATGGCGGCATAGCTTCGTGTATTGGAGTAACTTGAAAAATGCTGACAGGGTGCGAAATCAGAAAGGTGTCGCTACATACAGTTCCATGTAGAGGGCAACCTTTGAACTTCAGAGTTGAAAAAACGCTGTTCCCATTCATTTTCCATTCTAATCGAGTTGACTAGGATGCTGTGTCGCAACATATTTCAATATAATATTTTCCACTGCTTCGGTTCCAGGACCAAAAGCCATAAAAGGGTGTTGAATCAATGCTTGACGTAGTTACTGGCCTGCTTCGATGATGAATACAACCTAACGCTCGAAAGCTTCGTTTACTCTGATGTTGTAATATCGATTCTGTTTTTTAACTATTTTTTTCCATTTTATTTAGTTCATTAATATACTATATTTGTGTACTGTAGTGTATTTCGTATTTTGTTATATCTTTTGTATGATTTTCGAAACACTTCGCCAAAAAAATAGTGCGTTTTATGCGGGGTTATATTTAAACGAATTGAGAACCCAATCCGCGGATGATAGCTGGATGTAGCAGCGTAACCTCATGTACAAGCTTACAGCAGTGTTATGAAACGGCCAGCACCATCAAGTTCTGCGGCGCTCAAAAGTCGCTGTTTTGCTCAGTCATATCAGTCAAGGCTATTCTATTTTGTACCAACCTTTCCCCCGATGGGGCTGTGTCAATCGGCAAATCATAACGAATTAATCGTAGTATCGAGATCAAAAGTGTTACTGGCCATTGTTTTAATGTGTATTACAAAAGGAAAAAAATAACTAAGCTTTTTAATCTTCTCTGCGTGAACGAAAACATGGTCTATAAGTCTAGAAAACGATATGAATTGTATTTTTCTTTATATAATCGCACTTTTCGTTTAGTATATAATACCATTGTTTATTTATGATACTCTTGAGAAATTGTGTGTATAATTATTTGTCTTATCAAGACGACATGATCTGAACATATTCCATGTAGAATCCTTTTATTCGTCCTACTGGTGCTTCATTCTAGAATTGCTGGCTTTAATTTTCCGCTAAATTTATAACCCGTTCGTATTTTAACGAACATTGCAGATAGAAGACTAGCCACGCAACGTACGTTCCAGTAAATATATTAGCGACGTTACGCTAAAGGTGTAGATACTCATTATTGTAGGACAGCAGCTAACTAGCTGCTAGTAGTAATAGTTCTGGTTTGGAGATAGTTTTTTGTTGTTTTGTCAAGATTTTTACGACAATACTTCAAATCGAGGGTCTTAGGCTTATCGAGAGAGGATTCAGAACAATGGTAAATAATGTTGACCATCTATATTACTTGCGTCTTAAAGTTGATTTTATTGTGGCGGGTACGACTTATCCTAGAATTTTCAAGTTAGTGAGTGCCGTAATGATAACTGCTAAATTTCTGTCATTGTCAAAGCATAATGAAAGCATGTTGACGCTGCTAAACACGTATAGAGCGTATTCGTCAGGACACCATCTTTGAGTTGTTTGCTTAGAAAGAGAGAGAGAAACGCATTAAAACTCATAGTTGCTTCCATAGGTGTGATTTATGGCGACAATGTTCTGATTCATCTGTACTTATTTTGGGTTTTAGAGTCTTGTACTCATTCATTCAGTCAAGTTCAACATTCCCTAACATAGTAAGTTCCAAATGTTTTGAGTTCAATCATGGACATAGTAAAATGTCCAGCAGCTGGCACGGAGCGAAATGTGTCTGTACTCTGTATAGAATCTTCACCACTCTGTATTTCTCAAATTAGCGGGCATATACGATACCCACTGACCTATCACTGGAACATGAACGACATCGAAGAACATGGGAAGTTCAAACCTAATCTATAATATCATAGCTATCGTACTACCTAGCAGATGCCAAAAATTGCATTAAAAAAATCAAATACATATGCTGATTACAGTGATCCTCGTTCAAATGTGTTTATTAGGCAAGCTACGTCAGTTAGCCATAACTGGGTTTCTCAGTAACTTGTTCATATATAGCTCTAAAACAACTGTTATCGGATACAATTTTCTTGTATGTTTATTCTTAGTTTCACCCAAATATCGCCTGCAAAAGCGTTCTTTCGCAGATAGGCATCTATTGAAGACGCGATAACTTGTCCCGGGTGGGTTAATGGGTAATCCACTGCGCTCGAGTAAGCGGATTAGACGTTCCCAAGCAAGGCAATAACTGCTGCGCCTTTTGTAAAGCGCTAGCCAACTCATTCAAGCTGACTTCAAAATTAAAAGAACAGGTCTCTACAGATGTCTCGTATGCAGTGCACGTAGGAAGCAGAGGCCTTTTCCAGGCCATCTCTATACATGCAGATATACTTGTAATAGAACTACAAAAAATGCGTTGGTTTGCCGGTGTGATTCAGGTAAGTCTAAAAGTTAGCCCTGAGTTTTGACTTAGCTAACTGGTCTGCGAGACAACACAACCATCATACTCATGTAAAAAAAACATAGCGTACGGATTCGTCGTACACAAATGGTTAACAGGTTATCCGTTATAAGCACCAACTTATTTTGCCATTGTATATGTGAACTCATTTATTAAGCAACACATTGTTATGGCTAACATGTTTTTTTTCATTGATCATCTATCTGTGCGTATTTACGAATCGTCTCTCAAGTAACGGTCTCAAATAGTTTACGTCGTCATGGGGCAAACTGTATGACAGCCGTATGGCATGGAGTTCGCCATTGCTCGCGCATAGAACGTAGCTAATAATGGTAAAAATAATTATAATATAGATGCAAGCGTCGCGCTTATGTACGGCAAACAATGTTTCCTTCTTTATGAACGTTTGTGCATTAAAGCGAAGGAATGTGTTAGATTAATTAGTAACAATTATGCGCGTAGTTATGTTCTTTTACCACTCCAGCTGCCATTCTTACCAAAATCATTGTAGACAATTACATATTTGTTGTTTGAATTTTCATTTGTTCTTCAGGCTAGAACAAGTTGTTTTTGTTTGTATTTATCGCCATCGAAACGAATTCATTTAACCTACACGTGACTCTTCTTCTGCACCTATATCTCCATAAGATATAACCTTTACATGAGTTACATCGAGCTGCAGAATGAGTTTATCTCTTTTCTGTAGCTGCATGTAGCTTTTTTCTGTATGGAACGCCAGCCTCGAAGCTCTTTTGTTATGACTAGTAGGTTCGGTATGCTATGCTGCACTCCAAGCGGTTCTTCAATCAAAAATAATGCAGAGATATGTGTAGCTCACACGAATCTTTACATGTTCTTCACTTTTCTTCACTGCGAAACACACGTTATAGTGCTGAAGTGTTAACGACAATGGTCGTGCTATCCAAAGGCACGAGAACGAACCAATCCGATAGAATATCAGACGGCAGTAAGCAGATATGGATATTGAAAACACTGTGCGTGGAAAACAACACTTCATTATTAGCAGACCTCAGAAGCAACCCAGTTTGTTTCTCCTCCCTATAAGTTGCTAAGCAGATACCGCATGCTATTATAAGTAGCGGAATACGATAGTGAAAAATAGGTATTTCAGTTTTCTGCATCGAAAACAACGTCAATCAAGATACCACTAAAGAGAGATTACACTTGGAGATCTCCTAGACCCACATATAGGATCATTGATACATTTAGTGCACTAAGCTCGTAACAAAGTCATAGAGAAAGATGACCCCTTGTCTCTGCAGCCGTTTGAGATCGTTGGTTT